ATTACCAGGAACCACCAGAAGCTAGAAGAGGCAAGAAAGGATCTTTCCTACAATTGGTCTCTATTCACCTGGAGCAACAGAGGAAGAAGGAGAGTCAGGAATAGGAGGAGGATATGGAACGTGTGGCTGATTGCTTCCATGAACAACTGCCTCCTTTGCCATGAGACCAGAACTAGATGGTGCCCGGCTACCATTACCGAACATTTTCATCAAAGATTCCATAGAAGAATCCTGATCAAAGGGGGAAAATGCAGAAAAGAATTTCAAATTCTCATGGACTCCAGACTTTCTGGAGCCATGGAGGCTGGATGAACTTCTGAAACTACTGCCCTGAGATAATCTTTAAACTGTAAACCAAAAATATCCCTGAAGTCTTCTTTAAACCAAACAATAGCTTTAGTTTAACTAGTAAAGAATGTCTGCCTTGAGCACTATGTTTTTTTAAGATCTATCTATATGGGATCAAATTGACAACAGCAGCTCAAAAGACTGGATAGGAAACTTAGGGGCAGTGAGTTTATGTTAATGGGGGAGGAACAATTTGGAAAAAGAGGGTGAGAATGGTTGCACAACATGAAGACTGTCATCAATATCACTGAATTGTACATGTAGAAATTGTTAATCAGTGTATGTTCCGCTGTGTATATTCTCATCAACAACAAATATAAAAAATTTTAAAAAAAAGGAAAGACCTTCCCTGGAGCCTTCAGAGATAGCATGGTCCCACTGACGCGCTGAGTTCAGATTTACAGCCTCCAGACTGAGAGAATCCATTTCTGTTGTTTCAAGTAACCCACTTTATGGTACTTTGTTCCAGCAGCCCTAGGGAACGAAGACACCCCGGAAATCAGGACACTGCAGGACATGCCACCCAAACACTGGAACCAAGAGGTATGGGGGACCCCGGCAGGGAGCACCAGCATGTCAGCGTGCACCAGCTGCAGGCTCACTTCACCTTGATGGTCACTGCCAAGCACAGGAGCCACCCACAGCCCACAGCAGCAATTATCGTTACGGATGGCAATCATATTACTAAAAGGCCTCAGAAAACTCGGCTTTCTCTAGGGGACAGTGAGTTGAAGATAATGGTGATGGAATAATTTGGAAAAGGATAGTGAGAATAGCAGCACAACTGGAAGACTGTAATCCACGTCACTGAAATGTACATGTAGAAATTTTTGAAATGGTGTATCTTTGGCCATGTATATTTTCACCAAAAAAAATGGCCCACCAAGGTCGAGAACGGAGAGTGTTGACATGTCATGGGGGTGTTCACCAATGTCATAAAACAGTATGTGTACTGACTGTTTAATGAGAAACTATTTGTTCTGTAAACCTTCATCTAAAGTACAATAAAAATAAAAAAAAAAAAAAAAGGAAAACTCGGCTTTCTCCAAAGCATCTAACTTGGCAGGACACTTGGGTGAGAGAGCACCTAAAGAACTGAGGACACCCTGGGTCAGGTCCCGGAGCTGCAGAAGCTTCCAGAGCATGGCTGGGCAGGCTGAGGCATGGGTCTCCGGCATCATGCAGGGCCACCAGTCAAGGCCATGGAGACTGACTTTCTGGAGAGCTCTCTCTTCTCCTCGACCACCAAGGGGTCTCAGATACTGCTGTCCCTTGAGGCTGAGGTTCCGAAGATGATGCAGGGATGGGTCCAGTGGCAGTGAGCCACATTCAAAGCACCCACTGCCACCGTGGACTATGCAACCTTGCTGATCTGAGGGTCAAGTACACCAAGGAAGGAGCTGCTGCCATCCACGGGGCTACCACCTGGGGTCATGCTCCCAATGTCCCTGCAGCAGGGCTACTGGGAACAAGGCTGGCAGGCCCATTGGGCCCTGATGATGTGGCTGGGAACTGACACCCTGGTGCCCCCCAGAATACTGGCATCTCAGGCCCCTGTGCCCAGGAAGCTGCTGCTGATAGAGGGCACTGGGGTCTGGGACCTTGGCCAGGGGCTGCACAGCCACCAGGCAACTCAGCCAAGGCCACCTTCGATGCCACATCCACGCTACAGCCTTCTCACCCAACCTCTGGAAGAAGACTTTGTTCGCCAAATGTCCTTGCCAGGAGTTCACTGACTGTCCTGTAAAGACCCTCCCCGAGGCTCCGTGCCCCGACTAGGGCTGCCACACAGCATTTTCATCTAAGAACAGCAAAGTGAACTAGGAATCTCTGGGGGGTGCACATGGTTAATGTGCTCAGAGGTTCAAATTCACCCAGAGGCACCTCAGAAGAAAAGGCCCGGTGTTCTACTCCAGAAAAAGCAGCCACTGAAAACCCTACGGACCCTGAGGTCACCTTAAAACCTAACAATAGTTAGCTATTAGTATATTAGTAGCTGTTAGTAAAGAATGTCTGCTTTGAGCATTGAGCTCTTTAAGGACTGTTATTTATACGGGATCAAACTGACAACAGCAACTCAAAAGATGAGATGGGAACCTTCGGGGGCAGTGAGTTTATGTTAGTGGGGGAGAAACAACTCAGAAAAGGAGGGTGAGACTGGTTGTACAACTCGGAGAATGTCATCAGTGTCACTGAACCGTACATGGAGAAACTGCTGAATTGGTGTCTGTTTTGCTGTATATACTCTCAAGAATGACAACAACAAAAAACCCCACGGACCACAATTCTACTCTGACACACCTGGGGTTGTCATGAGTTGGAGTCAGCTTGACTGCAACTGGTAACAGTGAGCTAAACATGAAAAACAAACAATACTTGGACCAGGCGGTAGGCAGGGGCGGCCTGAGGCTCCACAGGGGACACGCAGTCCTCAGGGTTGTGTCCTGGCTGAGAGACACCAGGTAGCCGTGGGAGGAATAAGTGTGAGCTGGACAGCGTGGACGCACCATCGCCCGAGGAGCACACCAAGTGCCCTGGGAACAACATATGACGACGCTATTTATAACTTGAAAAGCATGTTAGGTACAATATGGTTCCAGCCAGGACAAGTCAGAAAAGACATAAAAACGTACTGTCTTCCTAAATGAGACACAGGCAACATAACTAGACGGCCCTCCTGTTGCCTCCAGGCAGGTCCCCAAAGGTGCTCCATTTCAGCACAGTCCATGTGAAATGACACAATAATCACCCCGTGGGTCTCGTCATTGAGCAGCCCCAAGCACCGAGCCCAGGGATGAGCCAGCCAGGGTCCCTAGAGCGGACACTCACCTCCTGGACCACAGTGGGCTGGTGACCTGATGGGCTGGTGCTGGGGAGACGAGGGCAGGGGGTTGGGAGAGAAAACGGAATCGGAAGTGGGGCCTGAGGGGGTGGGTTTGCCAGTCTCCTGGGGAGGGAGGGCCCCGGCAGAGACAGTCAGGTGAGCTGGGGGCTGGTGGACACAGTGCGTACGGAGCAGGGGAAGTGGAGGGAACTGGCGAGCGAGGCAGGCTGGAGTCCTGGACCAGAGGGCCTCCGGAACCCTCCCAAGGACCCGAGGCGAGTGCAGTGAGTGAAGAACCACAGTGTGTAGGGGTGATGTGCCCACAGGTGAGAAAACTCCTGTTGGCCGAGGGTGGCGCCCTGATTGGGTGGGATGAGGCTACAGGCTGAGACTGGTCAGGGGTTCCAGCAACATCCAGGAAGGAGATGGGGGGCCTCGCCAAGGTCTGAGGGCTGGTCTGGAGAACATGAGACGGAGTGAGGAGACAGAATCACCAGGCTTGGGGACCACTTCGGGGAGCAGGCATCTAGGAAGATGTCCTCAGTTCTCACTTGCGCGCCTCACACCAAGGAGGAGCAGCCGGTGGGAGCAGGCAGATACCGGGAAAACCAACCAAACATCATCATGAATTGGGCGGCACTGAGCTCCTCTTGGAGCCCTTGTGGCTCAGTGGTTAAGAGCTTGGCTGTTAACCAAAAGGTCAGCAGTTCAAATTCACCAGCCACTCCTTGGAAACCCTATGGGGCAGTTCTACTCTGTCCTATACGGTGGCTATGAGTTGGAATCAACTCGATGGCCGTGGGTTTTGTTTTTATTGGAGCTCCTGTTAAGGGTGATGAAAAAATTGGGAACGAATAGTAGTGATGGTTGCACATGAAAAAAAAAAGTTGTGAAAATTATCCAGAGGTGCAACCCTGAGTCCCTGGGACCCAACCCATCAAGAGGAAAAAATCATGAGGCCTGAGGACAGCACAGAATTGTTAAAGCGGAGGGTTCCAGCCTCGGGGCCGCGTATGGCCACTGCTGCTCACAGCCAGCATCTCCCAGGCAGCTCCGAAGGCTGCGCGCGTCCTGCCCATGTGTGTTCTAGAAGTGTTGAGAGGAAACATCTGTCCCAGAACATGACATCACTCATGTAACAGTCAATATTTGACCAAAATCTATTTAGCAGAGACTCTCGCTCACCTAGCAACCCGGCTGCCAGCAAACTAACAAGTCTGCTTGTCCAACATGACTGGGTTTCCCTCAGTCCTCAGACAGAAGTCAACCTTCCGCGCCAGGGGCTCTACCCTTTCCCCAGACCTACGGAGAGGCAACCACACAGCACAGTGGAGAAGCTGGGCTGTAAGGACTGGTGAACCGGAAGGGTGGCAAAGGGTGGTCTTTCCCTACCAGGGGCTCAGGGAGACCGCAGATGGTGGCTGTGATGGCCGGTCCTCGGGTGAGGAGGGAGGGTGGAGCCACCAGCTCCACAGATTACGCCCCCTCCTGGGGCAGGAAGTCAGTCAGAATGGAACAAGAGTGAGCAGGGCAGGCAGGCTGTCCACTGTGGCACTTGTTGGTTCTCAGGCAAATACAGTGAATGCCCGTTTTATACATGAGGAAAACAAGGGTCTCAAGAGCCCACCTGTCAGCCTTGAGAACAGAGTTAATGGGTGGCCGAGGCGGGACTCAAGCCCAGCTAACCCTGAGACTCACGTGATTATTTAAGATTGTGGTTTTTGTTCTTTTTAATATTCAACCTAAACACCAAGGAATGTACATACAAATCCGTTCGTGCAGTTGAAACAACTTCAGGTTTAAAGTGAACACAACAGGCAAATCCCCCAAAACTGTAGTTTATTTGGATTCTGGCTAATTACATTTGTATTATGCTCCTCTCACTTGAAACTCTACCATATCTATATGAAAGGGCTTTTCCCCTGGCAGTGAAACCATTAAAAATACGTGGACGTGCATGGGCACACACACACACACGCACGACAGGTAACACGTACACAGGTAACACTGACACATGTTCATACGCAGGTATGGAGACAGCGGGACCCGACGATCAGGTAACGACCTCTGTATGAAGAACGTACTCAGCAAAGTACTGTGAGCACAAAATTCCGTTACTGACACCATAACAAAAGTCAGTGCGTTTTAAAGAGAAATTCAAAGCAGTGAACAAGTGTCAGATGTGAATGGCAGTGAAGGCCCTCAAGGCGGGCTGTTACTAACACTCCCATCCCAGGAATTACCGGATGCGCCAACCACTCTAACCTAGACTCGGATTCTGTTTTTCTGGGAGTCGCCAGTGTCCAGAAAGGCCCCATGTAAACACAGCGCATCCCGCAGTGTCTCCTCGCCGACGCCTGCCAACAGTGCTCACCTTCGAATCTGCAGTGAACCCGGATGCCTGCTGTCACCGTCAGCCTCACAGAGGAATCTGTGCTCATCTGTTTAAATCCGTGACAGACTTGTATATGAAGCACAGGTGACAGAAACAGGTATCTTCTGGAAGTCTTTGGGAAGACAGATTACTGAGGAAAATGTCTAGTTGCCTGTTTTCTTCAAAATCATAGTCAAGTACAAAAGGAATGAAACCAGGATAGCTGTCAGATTAAATACATTACTTTCTTGCACCAACATTGCTCTTGAAGATATTCAGAGGTTTTGTCTTTGCTTTTAATTTAGAGCAAATTTTAAAAAACATGAATACCTTATAATAAACTAAGTCGGATGCCAAAACTGTTACTTTCTCTTGAGCAGGTGAATTTCATCAGTTCCTATGTCTTCGCACCTTCAGCCCTGATGAGAGCTACTCCTTAGCCTTCCAAACAAGTGCCTTTACTCATTTACAGCGCTTAGGAAAGGAAAAAAGCTATAGAAAAAGGAAATTTTCAAAGTAAGGCTTCCTCCCGGCCCAGGGTAGGCAGCAACTTCTGACGGGCCCAGTCAGAGTCTGGCTGGTTCTCTCTCGGTGGCCGTTACTTCCAGGTTGTGAGGACGGTTCTCCCTGAATCCCTCGACCGGCTGCCTTTGGGCCCCAGTGACTGCCCTGGACGACTTCTCAGCTCCCGGTCAGCCCCATCCCCCTGGGCCAGCTCCTCATCGTACCTGGAAGCAAAGAAGCCGCCACAGGATCATCACGAGCACTCACGCTGTAGCAGCGGGGCCAGTGCTGCCACAGGTTGCCCCCTCACCCGGAGACCATCTGACCTGCCCCTGCCAACCTCCAGCCCACCAATCACCACCCTGAGGTCACAAAGCGCATGAGTGAAGAAAGAACCAGTTGCCGTTAAGTCGATTCTGACTCATGGCGACCCCAGGTGTGCAGAGTAGAAATGCGCTCCATGGGGTTTTCAATGGCTGTCCTTTTGGAAGTAGATTGCCAGGACTTTCTTCTGAGGTGCCTCTGGGTAGACTCAAACAGCCTTTTGGTTAGCAGCCAAGTGGCCCTGTTACATTGTTATTGTAGACAGTACTCCCCGCCCCACTTGTCAGCTGACATTTTATCCAGCCCCCAGATCCGATTTGGCAATGACTGCTAAAGAAGCATGAACGAGACACCCTGGACTCAGCCCAGGGTATAGGAGAGAGCGGCTATCTGCAAGTCTTTTACACACAGCCTCCGCGGCGTCGGCGCCACTGACCCCACCTCAGACAGGAAGCAGGGGATGTAAGTGACCTGCCGGGAGGAGGAGCAGGACAGTGGGTCTCTGAGGTACCACTCACCAGCAGCTAAGAAAGGGGGTCCCAGACCCCACCAGCTTTGACCTACACTGCCCCTCTCCACTCTTGTTACTGCCTGTTTGCCAGTGAACATTTAGTGTGGGAGCACTAATGAGGGCCAGGGTAGGAGAAGCAGGCTGGGCTTCTGCATCTGAAAGGTACCCGACTGGCATCTCAGCTGCCGGCTGGCGCCTGGGTAAGCCCCTGGCCTTTCCCATTGGATGGCTCACTGGGTGCCCCTGCCTAGTGCAGGCCTGATGCGGGCTGGGCCCCACTGGCCGACTTCAAATCACCCTCCCGACCCGGAATGGAGGGCCCTGTCATCTCCACTTCAGATCCGAGGAACTGGACTCAAAGGTTTGGTTCCCGTACTAAGTCACATAATAAGGTGGCAGAGACGGAATTCAAACCCAGGACTTCTGAGCGCAGACTCAGAACTCGTTACCCCGCAGAGCTGGAGTGTGAAAAGTATTTCTGTTCACTGTCAGGGTGCACTGGGGCTGGAGTCCTGGCCACAGCCCTGACTGAGGACCCTCAGTTATACACAGAAATTCACGTCAAACGCAAGAGACACTAAGAAGCTTGGTGATGCTGAGCTCTGCTGACTTCCAGAAAAGGCTGTGTTTCTATGACAACTTTATTCACCGAATCAGAATGTGTGGCTCGAATGGGGTGTGGGTTAGCAGCTTCCGGGGCTGAAGAACTTATTTTCTAAATGATCCTTCTGGTGGTAAACTGAGGGCTGAAAGGGAAGGGGAGGGAGGAAGAAAACCCAGATGCTAACTGCTTGTCGGCCGCCATTACAGGGCTCCTCTGCTTGGTGCGGGGGTGTCAGGACCCCCGGGCCCTCCCCTCTCCTGGCCTTGCTAAGGAGAGACAAGGCCACAAATCGCTATGAAATGAGGATGCGGGATCGAGGACCCCTAGGGACCCGGGGGGCTCTCTCTCTACAGGTTTCTCCCAGGAAGCCCCCCAGCCCCTCTCCCCAGGGTCAGACACCCTCCTCCTGGGGCTGCTAGAAGCCCCAGGCTCCCCGTTCTTGTTGGCTCTCACTCTGTTGCCTCTTCTGTGTCTGCGTCCCTAGTGCAGGGCTCGAGTGACCCCTGGCTGCCCCCGGCACCTCACTCATCAGGGGATGCAGTAAGAATCTGCTGAATGAATGGGGGAAGCACACGCAGTCACCAGGCTCACCGCAGCTTAAAAACACAACACAGACAAAACCGGGCCTTTGGCAAGCAGGCGGCCTCTGGGCTGGGCTGCTCTCCAGGATGGCCTGGCCACCTACTGGGCTAATGCAGAGAGGGTGTTCTTCCAAGGCCCCTCCCTATCCTAGGGGCTTTTCTCCACGGTTTTCGCCAGCAGAGTCCAGTCACTTGTAGGGCTCAGAACAGCATTTTTAAAGGCTGTAGAAGCACAGCCCGCGACTTCAGAACCAGGCCCTGGGCAGCAGATGGAGTGCAGGCCTGGTGGCTCCAAGGCCACTGCATCCCCGAGCTCCTTCACCCTTAAACTGTTTAAAAATCTTGGAAAGGGTGTTGTGAGAACTAATGGGAGGCCGAGTGCTGGCCTGGCACGCGCCCCTCCTCGCTATGGCTGGCTGCACGTAAGCATCAACATCACGTACAGCAGACGACTAGGCGTGGGCTCTGGGTCCAGGGCCTGTGTTCAAATCCCCATGCCAGTGGCGCCTACCAGCTCGGAGCCCCGAGACCCGTGTGTGTGTGTGCCTGTGTGTCACGAAATATCTCTTCCTTTCTTTTCTGAATTTTAAATTAAAAACACGTAATTACTTTTATACACATGTCAACGGGAACCTAACATGCACGTTCTTTCTGTCTTCAGTGCGGTCTATTTTCTCTGGCTCTGCCTTCACATCTCCTCCTGGCCCAGCAGGAATCCACGCTGACAACCTGACCCGTGGGTCTTGGTGTATTTTCCCCTGCTCATCCACTCGCACATACACAACCACACACGTACCACGTGCACGCACACGGTGGGGGGGAGTCTGTGGTCACTGCTTACAGGGATTATCCTGAAGTTTGTTTTTCTCACCCAACCTCCCAGGCCCTACAGGGTGGCTCTCCATCAGTCAAGGCCACCTAACATTCCCTGGTATGAGAGAGCTGTGATTTATCCTGCCACTGGCCTCCTGATGGGCACTCTCTTTGTTCCCACTCTTTGTCACTACCAATGCGCCATTTAACCTCTCGAAGCCTTTTTTTCCACATCTGTAAAATGGAGCTAATAATAATACTTACCTCACAAGGCTGCTGGGGAAATTACATGTAATAATGTGTGTGTGTGTAAAGCACTTGGCACAGTTCCTAGTACGTGATAAGCCCTCAAATGTTAGCTACTATTATCACTCCTTTTCTTCACAACTCTGGAAGAGAAATCTTATCTTCCTCGTTTGAAAGGTATACACACTGAGGCTCAAAGACTTGTGGTGTTCAACAGCTCTTAAGTGGTGGGCCCAGGACATGACCAGGCTTCATACTCAATGGGGACGGAGTGAGGAGGACAGGCCCTGTGTCTGTCGTGCTCCCAGCCATCCCCAGAGGCTAACACAATGCCCAGCACGTAGTCAGTACTTCATAAATACCTATCAAGCCCAAGAATAGACAGAGCTCTAGTTTAGCACCCAAGCAGCTTTTCTGTTACGACATGATCTGTCCCACAGTATCATTAATAAATGAAATACTCTGTCCACATAACCCAGAAAATCCAAACTGGACCTTTGAATATACCTCAATTTAAACACAGAAGGACAATCACAAAGTCCCACACAACTTACAGAATTTCATAATTGCCAAGGACTTCCTTTGGGGGTGACTTGTTCCATTTGCAGTCTGGAATTTCGCCATTAGGGACCGCAATATTGAGGGTGTCGTTAATCAAGTTGTACTTTAGGATTCGATCGTTGGCAGTGCTGGAGGTGAGAGACGGGGAGGCATTCACCTAGCAGAGGAAAAAGCCCACATTCTTCATTTGCATTACTTACTCCTTTGGAATGAAAACATGGAATGCAGAAGAAAAGGCTGGCCACCACACACTATAAATAAAGCTGTTATTCAATGCTGTTAATATTTAAAGCCTTTAGGGCACCTTGTCTAGGAAGCATTTTGTGATCTACTTTTATTAGCTGTACGATAAGATATAAATAATATTTAAGAACAGGATTAGGATAATGATCCACGGATCAGCCATCCCACAAATAAAAAATCTAAGTCAGTGTACATCACAAATGTAATCTCTACCTATGTGAACAGCTGTCTTCAGTACCCAAAGCCTCCCAAAGCTTTGCCAGAATCAGCAAACCAAGTAACCCTCATCAAGCAGTGTTGTGTGGTTTATGTAGAAGGTAATGGGGCCTGTTTTCTGCTAAGAGAGTAACGCCTCACTAATAAAGCAATGCTGTTGTTGCTATTGCTGTTGCTGGGTGCTGTCCAGCTGATTCCAACTCATAGTCACCCCATGTGACAGAGCAGAACTGCCCCATAGGGTTTTCTAGGCTGTAATCTTTATGGGCCCCACACGCCTGTCAATTTGCCACACTGTGGTAGCTTGCGTGTTGCTGTGATGCTGGAAGCTAAGCTATGCCACCAGTATTTCAAATATAAGCAGGGTCACCCATGATGGACAGGTTTCAGTGGAGCTTCCAGACTAAGACAGACTAGGAAGAGGGACCTGGTAGTCTACTTCTGAAAACACTGCCCAGTGAAAACCTTATGAATAGCAGCAGAACACTGCCTGATACAGTGCTGGAAGATGAGCCCCTCAGGTTGAAAGGCACTCAAAATACGACTGGGGAAGAGCTGCCTCCTTAAAGTACAGTTGACCTTAATGACGTGGATGGAGTCAAGCATTCAGGACCTTCATCTGCTGATGTGGCACAACTGAAAACAAGAAGAAACAGATGTAAACATCCATTAATAACTGGAACACGGAACATACAAAATATGAATCCAGGAAAACTAGAAGTGGTCAAAAATGAAATGGACCACATAAACATCGATATCCTAGGCATTAGTGAGCTGAAAGGAACTGGTACTGGCCATTGTGAATCGGACAGTCACACGGTCTACTATGCCAGGAATGACAAATCGAAGAGGAATGGCATTCCTTTCATTGTCTAAAAGAACATTTCAAGATCTATCCTGAGGTACAACACTGTCAGTGATAGGATAATATCCACACACCTCAAGGAAGACCAGTTAATATGACTACTATTCAAATTTATGCACCAACCATTAATGCCAAAGATGAGGAAATTGAAGATTTTTACCAACTTCTGCAGTCTGAAATTGATCAAACATGCATTGATAATTACTGGTGATTGGAATGCAAAAGTTGGAAAGAAAGAAGAAAGTTAAGTGGTTGGAAAATACAGCCTGGGTGATAGAAAGGACACTGGAGATCAAATGATAAAATTTTGCAAGACCAACGACTTCTTCATTATAAATACCTTTCTTCAACAACATAAACAGTGACTATACATATAGACCTCACCAGATGGAATACACAGGAATCAAATTGACTACATCTGTGGAAAGAGACGATGGAAAAACCTCAGTATCATCAGTCAGAACAAGGCCAGGGGCCAACTGTGGAACAGACCATCAACTGCTTATACGCAAGTCCAACTTGAAGCTGAGGAAATTAGAACAAGTCAACGAGAGCTAAAATACAACCTTGAGTATATCCCACCTGAATTTAGAGACCATCTCAAGAGCAGATGTGACGCGCTGAACACTAATGACCGAAAACCAGATGAGTTGTAGAATGACAAGGACATCATACCTGAAGAAAGCAAGAGGTCATTAAAAAGACAGGAAAGAAAGAAAAGACCAAAATAGATGTCAGAGAGACTCTGAAACTTGCTCTTGAATGCTGAATAGCTAAAGTGAAAGGATGAAATGATGAAGTAAAAGAGCTGAACAGAAGATTTGAAAGGATAGCTCGAGAAGACAAAGTATTATAAGAACGTGTGCAAAGACCTCAAGACAGAAAACCAAAAAGGAAGAACATGCTTAGCATTTCTCAAGCTGAAAGAGCTGAAGAAAAAATTCAAGCCTTGGATTACAATACTGAAGGATTCTACGGAGAAAACAGTAAATGACACAAGAAGCATCAAAAGAAGATGTAAGGAATACAAAGTCACTGTACCAAAAAGAATTGATTTGACGTTCAAACATTTCAGGAGGTAGCATCTGATCAAGAACCAGTGGTACTGAAGGAAGAGGTCCAAGCTGCACTGAAAGGACTGGTGAAGAACAAAGCTCCAGGAATTGACGGAATACCAAGTGAGATGTTTCAACAAACGGATGCCGTGCTGGAAGTGCTCACTCGTCTATGCCAAGAAATCTGGAAGACACATACCTGGCCAACCAACTGTAAGAGATCCATATCTGTAACCATTCCAAAGAAAGGTGATCCAACTGAATGCGGAAACTATCAAAAAGCATCATTAATATCACACACAAGTAAAATTTTGCTGAAGATCATTCGAGGGCGGTTGCAGCAGTACATTGACAGGGAACTGCTAGAAATTCAAGCTGGATTCAGAAGAGGATGTGGAACAAGGGGTATCACTGCTGGTATCAGATGGATCCTGGCTTAAAGTAGAGGATACCAGAGAGATATTTACCTATGTTTCACTGACTATGCAAAGACGTTCAACTGTGTGGATCATAACAAATTATGGATAACGTTGCGAAGAATGGAATTCCAGAACACTTAACTGTGCTTGTGAGGAACCTGTACTTAGACCAAGAGGCAGTGGTTCAAACAGAACAAGGGGATACTGCGGGTTTAAAGTCAGGAAAGGTGTGCATCAGGGTTGTATCCTTTCAATAATTCAATTTGTATGCTGAGCAAATGATCAGAGAAGCTAGATATATGAAGAACAACGGGGAATCAGGATTGGAGGAAGACTCATTAACAACCTGCGATATGCAGATGACACCACCTTGCTTGCTAAAAGTGAAGAGGACTTGAAGCACTTACTGATGAAGATCAAGGACCACAGCCTTCAGTATGGACTACACCTCAACATAAAGAAAACAAAAATCGTCACAACTGGACCAATAAGCAACATCATGATAAACGGAGAAAATGTTGAAGTTGTAAAGCATTTTATTTTACTTGGATCTACAACCAACACCCGCGGAAGCAGCAGTCAAGAAATCAAAAGATGCATTGCATTGGGCGAATCTCCTGCAAAAGACCTCTTTAAAGTACTGAAAAGCGAAGATGTCACTTTACAGACTAAGGTGTGCCTGACGCAAGCCACGTTGTTTTAAATTGCCTCATATGCATGTGAAAGCTGGACAATGAAGAAGGAAGACAGAAGAATTTACGCCTCTGAATCACAGTGTTGGTGAAGAATATTAAACATACCATGGACTGCCAGAAGAAGGAACAAATCTGGCTTAGAAGTACAGTCAGAATGCTCATTAGAAGCGAGGATGGAGAGACTTTGTCTTACATACTTTGGACATGTTATCAGGAAGGACCAGTCCCTGGAGAAGGACACTGTCTTCGTTATCTAGTATTACTATCAAAGAAATACTACAAGTGGATGGCTTTTACGAAGAGAAATTTATTCTTTCACAGTCTAGGAGGCTAGAAGTCCGAATTCTAGGCATTAGCTACAAGGGAAGGCTTTCTCTTTCTGCGGGCTCTGGAGGAAGGTCTTTGTCATCAATCTTCCCAGGTCTAGGAGCTTCTCTGTTCAGGAATCTCGGGTCTAAAGGACGTGCTCTGCTTCAGGCGTTGCTTTCTTGGTGGTAGGAGGCGCCCCTGTCTCTCTGCTCACTTCTCTCTTTACATTTCGAAAGAGATTGGCTCAAGACACAATCCAATCTTACAGATTGAGACCTGCCTCATTAACATAACTGCCATTAATCCCATCTCATCAACAACATAAGATAGGATTTACAACACATAGGGAAATCACATCAGATGACAAAATGGTGGACTATCACACAATACTGGGAATGATGGCCCAGCCAAGTTGATAGATGTTTTTCGGGGGCACAATTCAATTCATAACAGACATCATGCTTGGTAGAGCAGAGGGTCAACAAAAAAGAGGAAGACCATCAATCAGATGGAATGACACAGTGGCTGCAACAATGGGCTCAAGCATAAAAACTGTTGTGAGGATGGCACAGGACCAGGCAGTGTTTCGCGCTTTTGTTGGACATGGGGTGACTCTGAACTGGAACAGACTTGACGTCACCTAACAACAACACAGATGCGTGTGTGTGTGTGTGTGTGTGTGTGTGTGTGTGTGTGTGTAGTTACCAAAGCTTTGGCAGTATAACAAGTAAGTTATGTGGACAACAGCTCCCTCTAAAAACGGAGGCTCGGGAAGAGCAGCTGGATTTAGCGCTCAGCAGCTTCCTGCAGGGTTCCTGCTGACTTGTCCGCCAAGGGGTCACTCACCACAACTTGCTGATGGAAACAAGTTTCAGAGTGAAGTGTGCCTGAGGACAGGGTCTGAGCCGTCACCTCTAAATGAGCTGGATGAAAGGACACAGTGCTCGGGGCTGCATCCAGGGTGAGAAGCTGACAGACGGAAGGCCTCATTCTCATGCCATTCCAACCCCGTGTCCCCTCAGAGGCTGGAAGCTCCTCTCACTGGCTTCAGAGCAACCACAGGCGATTTGGGCAAAGTTGGTTGTAAACCTGGGCCTCAGACAGGAGCTCCAGTGCCCAACGCTACTGAGGAACACGCCCCAGGCTGGGCACCAGCAAGAAGGACTTTTGAACAATAAGGGTTCAGGGACCCGCCCTGACGTAACAGCCACCACAGCGTCCCCGATGCTACTTTAAATATACCGATGAACTCACTTGCGAACTAGGCCTTGATCCCAAGGAACAAGGCCCCCAGTGAGCACCAGAGGAACCCGGGGGACAGGGTATGGGACTGCCAAACCATGGGCGGGTCCAGGAGCTCTTGGACCCCGGGCACAGCAGCCACCAGGGTAGCCTCAAAGGCTCATCCAGAAGATGGCAGCTCCCCCTCCACGGTCTGTGCTCAGCCCCGATGAGATCTGCGAGTGCGCTCACATTTCAAGGGTCAGCAAACTGCTAAACGGGAACATCTGTCCCGTTCAGTCTGAGCCCTAACCTGGCCAGCCCCCCGCCCGGCCTGAGGACTGTTTGCCGGGAGGAGAGTGAGCCCGTTCCGGGCGGAGCGAGGGAGCCGTGCACAGGGGGCGAAGCCAGGTTGTGCCGCGCGCACTGACCTCAATCAGCCAGGGCTTCAGCCTGTCGTCGATGATGATGTCGTAGCCGTAACACTCGAAGCAGTGCTTGTCGTTGTTCATCACCGGCTGTGGAGAGTCGGCGGCGGGTTACCCGTGCGCCCGAGGGCGCAGTGATACCACCCTCACCGCACCGCCTCTGTTCAACCGGCCAGCCCTCCGCACCATTCTGGGCGGCCACAGCCCGCCTCCTACGGCAGGGGGGCCAACCTTTACCCCCTGAAGACCCCTTTCTTTCCCTCTTCCTCCCAGAGGCCTCAGAGACCCAACACTTCCCTCGGTCTCACAAACGGAATTTATCAAGTGATAACTGGCTTCTCCAGGCCTCACTCATCAGAGGTTCAGCTAACGGTGAACGTCTCCACCCGCACGACACTGTACACACAGTGACAGGATACCAGCCCCAAGCTCAGGAGCCTGAGCCGAGGCTGTGCAGCCAACCAAGCAACCAGAACTGTCACCAGGCTGTCACTTGCTCACAGGCTTGTAAGGACACGGTGCCAGGTTAGGAACCTCTCTTCTCATGGAAAACAGTAAATCTACTTACTTAAAAAATCTGAATTTTCTTTTTAATTCTCAATTCCATTTCACTTTAGGCAAACTGTTCTCCAAGTACGTTACACACACTACGTTACACACACACACACACACACACACACACACAGAAAAACACCAGGCTGCTTGCTTACTTGCTTACCATACAGATTCCTGGGGCCTACCCCGCTGCCTGAATTAACACCTCCAGGGAGAGACCCTGTGTGGTAAAATGAGTTCCTTTATGTGGCCTTTTGCCTCCGTTCTTTGAAAAACAGCTTGAAATTTTTCCCCTAAGCCCCGAGGCATTACCTTTGCCGGAGTTTTCTACCCTAGAGGGTTTGTTACTTTTGTCCAGATGGACTGACATCTCCTGGGAAAGCTGTAAACAACTTGGTTTGATACTTTTTGTCTGGTCCTGGTGGGAATGTCATGCCTTGAAATTGACAAGGAGTTTGTGTATATAAGCAGCCTGCCCCAGAGCAGTTTTTGAGACAGAAAGAAGCAGGAATTGAAGTAGCAGAAAGCAGCAGAGAGAGAGGAGGCAAGGAACCTCATAAAAGAGCTGTAACACGGGTCAAGGGTTCTAACAGTGAAGACAGGAAGAGGCCTGGGAGGGGCCCAGTGGCAGAGCTGGTGGCAACAGACAGCAGAGACAAGAGGAGCCTGTTCTGAGAAGGCCAAGAGGGGCCTGTCCTCAGGAGGCTGAGAAGAGGCCTGCATGGTTGAGAGGAGCCGAGAGAGCTGCCCCGTACTGAAGAAGGTAGACTTTGCCTACATGCTTCCTGATCCTGATCCTGATCCTGAGTTGCAGCCTATTGATCCTGATCCTGAGTTATACCCTTTTCTTTAATAAACCACTTAACTGTAAATATGGCCTGTGAGTTCTGTGGGGCCATTGCAAAAGGTTATCGAACCCAGAAGAGAGGTAAGGAGGGCCGTGGGAAGGGCAGCTGGTGTGAGAATTGGTAAAAAGGTTGGAGAGTGGACATGTCTGACCTCCACCTCACAGGAATCACTATCAGCACAAAGCATTATCCTCCACAAAGTCAGACAGGTTCTGACGCTACTACTGACCCTACCTAGTCCCACCATGCCACACCCAGCAGTAAGTATTTTCACACCCTCCCCTGGGGAGTCTTCCACGAGCCCCACAGACACTGCAGTAGGGCTTGTTTAGAAGCGAGGGCGTTCAAGTTAGACCTGGAAGCCCCTCAGGGAGAGGGGCTCAAGAGATAACTCGCCCACTTTCTCCTGAATTCAGGAGGAAAGCGAGGTGCCGGGGTTGTGTCATCATCTAATTTAGAGCCATTACATGTCCACTCGAAGCCTGGTGTCCTACCCCAGCCACTGTCCAGTAAGGCCTCTGCAGGACCAGCAGTTGCTCACCCTGTCACTCCCCAAGCCACGCTGTCTCCAACCCTCCGAGAATCCTGCCCTGGCTGTCACTCTCAACTTACCCGTCCCTTCTCAGTCTCAGGCCCATGTCACCTACTGCCCCAAGCTCTTCCTGCACTACTGCAGCGACCTGTTCCTGTATCTGCCTCACCCCCAGATCCTCTGACGGCAATATGCCTGGGAAAATTCAGGAAATATCTGCTAAGTGAATAAAAACTGAGTAAATAAATCCTTACCCCAAACACCCTCAGAGCCTGAGAAATCCAACAGATTGACAGCTCAGGAAGCTGAGGTCAGGAGGGACGGCCAGAGGCACTCGCCAGAGGTACCAGCCAGGAGTTCGGCAAGTTCTGGGGCCCGGACTCAGGTGTACTTGTTAAAAAGCCAACGATTTCTCAAAACTCAGTACAGAGAGAATAGAACGGGTTAGAGAGGGAGGCTAAGGGCTGGTTTAATCAGTGATGAAGAGTCACACAATCATACACGGTAACAGGCTAATGGCACTTAACCTAACTGCCCCCAATCATTTGGCTCACGTCTGCTGAGCGTTTTTCACAGAACAGCCCTGTGATATCCGTGTCACTGCCCATTTCACAGATGAGGCGTCTGAGGCTCAGAAAGGGTGGGCACTTGTCCAAAGTCACCAGCTGGGATGTGGTAGGGCCCAGCCTGAAGTCACATCTGAGCCTAGAACTCCACGCCTGTTTCCCACCCGTGACCCACCATCCAGGTTGCAAAGGTAAAAGAAGGCTTCAATGGAATAAGAGATGTGGAACTCTGCCCATACAATTAGCTAGATCCTGAGGGGTTGTTTCCTTTTAAATCCTCACTCTGAATCAGACAAAGAAAAAAGCGACATGCAGCACTTATGAAGTGCTTTGTAAAACTGGAAGAGCGTCCAACTCAAGACATGAGCCAGCAAAGGCTCCCACCTACCCCAGAAGTCAATGCTCTGTCAGTAACTTTGTTTACACAGTTGTTTTGAAGAAGCCTTTACATACGGTGAGGTTCAGTGTAAGTTGGCATGTTGAGAGAAAAATGGGAGAGGGCCTCAATTTTCCACCGAGGAGGTTTCGTATAAGTATTTTCACACACATCCACCGCTGCCAGAGCCATTATCGCACTTCCTCCCGAATAGCAACGTCACACACTTTCGACCGTGAAGTGAAGAGCCCTTTTCACAGCCCCTCAGCTCCGAGCGTGTGGGACATACCCGACCACCTGGCCTTGCTTTTGCATTCTGTGACCTGGCGGTGATTCTCTAAGTTTCTGAAGTTTTAGAAGCACCTTTATTAAAAGAACGGGACGTGCCCCACCACGCACACACACACTCCATGGTGACCGGTCACCAGCTCTCGGGGACCCAGGCCGTGCCCTCAGGTCCCGCACCTGAGTGGCCAGTCTGTTTGGAGGCCACCTCTGCAGGCACAACAGCAGACCACACCACCTCAGAGAGAAGACAGACCAGGGGAACAAGAGTCGAGTGACCTTGGCAGCGTGGGACAGTCATTCTCCTGCCACCACGCCACCCCGGGGGCCACGCCTGCTCTCCCTCTCTCGGCTCTCTGGGCCTAGGCCTCCGTCTGGCTGAGAAGTCACACAGGGTCATGAAGCCACTCAGAGATCCCATACATGACACACTGAAAATAGCGGTCGACGGGCTAGTGCGCAAACGCTCACTCCTTTCCTTCCCCTCGAAAATAGACACGCACCTGCTTTAAAGCCAGAAAACAAAACAAAAGCTGCAAACCAGCAAACCAATTTGGGGAGAGGTGGGACCTGTGGGCCTCTCAGCCCTAAAAAGCTATGAAATATCCAAGTCAAGAAGCCTAAACATAAGGAGGCTGCTGAAAACCCATCTCCAGGACATCAGCTTGTGCCAAAATAGTCATTATTGATCCAAGAGGCACAGCAGAGAGCCGATAATGACGTCAAGAGGGCCCTCACTTCCGACGCAAGGCCTGTGGCTACTTCCGGAGAAGCCTGGGCAGCACCTGGGGGATGCTGCACCCCCGCCCCCATTCCCGAAACCGCCTGGGCCTCTGGCAGACTCCGAGGAGGTGAGCCGTGAAAGAGCGTTTTAGCAGCAGGCCAGCGAGCCTTCCTGCCTTGCGGGAACAGCCCATGAGCTCCCTGGCTGTTCTCTCCTCGCTCTTGCTCGGTATCCTGGGCTCCCACCACCCAAGCGAGACCCTCGTGGCTGCTGTCCCTCCCAGTCTCCCTCCCCATGCACAGGGTACTCACCGCCACGGCCTTCAGGGACTGCACGATGATCCAGTGGATCTCGTCGAACAGCTTGCTGGTGACCTCCTTGCCACGGGTGCTCTCCAGGTAGAGTCGCAGGTTGCTCACGGTCCACTTGCCGCCGTGGATGTGGTTGTAGTCGTCCTGCACGGGAAGGGAGCACCCTCAGGCCATGCAACCAAGGGGGTCTGGGGCCTCTTCTCTCACCCCAACATTTCCTGAGTGCCTCCTCAGCATGGGCCGCCCCGGTGAGCTGGGCCAGTATGATCCCTGCCCCCACTCTGGAATATTCTTATAATTGATCATTTACACCTGGTAGTGCCTGCTGTGGCGTGCCCCGATCCCGTATCAAAACAAGGCACTCGTTCTTCCAGCGGAGACCCTCGCTGGTTGCTGCCCTTGGCTGAAGGGAGCTGCCTGGTCCAAGGTTATGCCCCTCCCTGGGGCCAGCCGGCATCCCAGGACTGGTAGATGCCAGAGTCCTGGCCCCCTGCCTCCATGAGGGACCATCTGCAGGGCTGTCCCAGCTCCAGAGCACATGCCCGTGGGGTCGGCTAAGGCCTGTCACAGCTGCACCACAACTGCCTCTCCCCTCCCCTGGCCCTGCCTCCCTCCCAGGCACTGCTCCAACACAGGTCCCCGCCTCAGAGGCTGCTTCCCGGGGAAGCCGACCCAAGACACACCTGTGCCCTGTACTGCGGTTCAGAAGCACCATACTTAACCTCTAACAACCTTGCAAAGTCGGCCATCATCATCCTGTTTCACAGGTAGAAAGACCAAGGCTCAGAGAGGCACACAGCTTGCCCGAGCTTTCCTCCCAGGGTACAGTGGACATGGGCCCGAGGCCAGGCCTGCTGATGCCAGTGTAGTGCTGTTTCTCCGCCCCTGAAACTTAATTCTCCACACACCGCTTTCCTCTGAAGGCAAAGAGCTAGGAAATACTGAAGTATAGTACAAAGCGGAGACACCAGGATTTCATTTTCAGTATAAAGTTGAGAAATGTGAACCAAAACAAAACCACTCTAGAAATGAGCAAAACCCACTGACCCAAAAGAAGACTTCATTTTACTATAAAAACAGGGAATGAACCATATTTAATTCAAAAAAAAAAAAAAAAAGAAACCTTTTCAGGGTCCGAGATAAACTCCTTTTACACACCAGTTTTTATTGAAATATCTCAAAAGATGAAGTGCCCCAGCTTGTTCACCTAACGAACTCTTCCAATAACTCACTGCTGGTGATCCTAGAAAGGGACTGTAAGGGAGGAAAATCGGACTCGCTGTCCACCAATACTTTTCTTTTTCTAGTCACAGATTCTCTTTACTAGCCAGAAAAGCTGATGTTCACTTAAAGTTCTAGAAGCATAAAATATGCATGGCAGAACAGTCTAACACGTGTCTAGATATAAAAAGCAAGTAAACACCTGCTTTTTTTGGCCTGTGGGAAATTATTCCATCAGAAATCTCTCAAAGCATTTTTTGATTCATTCATTTGCAAACATCTCCCGTTTCAGTTTGTACCTGATGTTCCCTTCCCCTTCTCTGCCAGCTGCCACCCCGCCCTCCACCCCGGCTCAGGGCGCTGGCTTGAGGGCAGGATGGTCCTTTCTCCTCGTGGGCTGCACTCCCACTCCGGCACCTCCAGACAGCACCGAGGTGTCTCTGCCCTTTGTCATCGTCACTTCTCTGCAGTGCTGCCTTCCCTGTGGGTCTCTGAGCTCCGAGGGCAGGAAGTACGGGGCAGACGGACCTCGCCAGGTCAAAGGGCTACTTTACAACGTGTCAGTGTTTAACACGATGTCCCTTCTTCATTCAGTTCTCAAATACACCCAAGGGAAGCTTCCGCACGCTGGAACTTCGGTTTCTTGGAGTAAGCTCTTTCTTAACTTACAAAGCGAGGCATTTACAACCAGGACCAACATGGCGAGTGCTGCTGCTTCTGGAGCTCTGTAAGGACACCTTGTGCACTCTCCTCCCATGGACTGAAATTGTTTCTTACTGATGGGATGAAGTGGCCCAGCTGACAGCACCTCCTGAGAACGCCCGTCTAACAGGATGCTCCCAATTTCCGCCTGGCAGCCCCAGACCCGGAGCTGGGCACTGGCAGGCCGAGACACTCTGCACTGTCCTCAGGGACACCAAGTGGCCTTGTGGTCCAGTCGTCATCCCACTCCCTCTGCTAAATGTGCTATTCGGCTATGAAGGGTCTCATGTCATTGCTCAGCCCTCCCGAAAGGGCTGACAGTTTCGGTCTATACCACCTGAAAGATCACTTTCTCCATTATTAACAAAGTCTTGGCCAGACCTCCTATTCCACCTAAACCTTGAACACCTGTGACAACAGTGCTCTCAATTTGCTTTTGAGAAAACCTGATGGACGAACAAGCCAACCCGGGTCAGCCTCACGGAAAGACCACTCCTGACCCTCAGTCAAAGGGAGCCACTGTCATTGACAGACCAGCAAGGTGACAACACAGCTCCCATTTGCAACGAGGAGACGAAGGTTCAGGGAGGCTCAGGTGACATGCTCCGTCTCACAGAGGCTAAGTGATGGCTGTGGGCTTGAACCCAGGCTGGTCAGACAAGCTCTTCGGTAGGTTATACAGAAAAGCTGGTTTTACATCAGTACACATTCTCTTCCTACTCAAATTATGAAAAAGACCAGGTACTCAAGGCTTCCACTCAAGCAAGATTCAAAGAGAAGACTCCTTCATAAGGAAATGAGACCGTCAAAGTTTTTTGTTAGGAAGCAGGACTAGATCAAAGCCCCAAGCCCTGGACAGACCCTACAAAATCCACTGTGTCCTGCCCTCGCTGCCTTGCCAAATGCCTCTCACTTGGCACACCCCGCCACTCCGGCCTCCTCACAGCTCTGCAGTGCTCCCTCTGCCATGGGACCCTGGCACACACTGCACCCTCTCTAGAATGCCTTCTCTCACCCCTCCTGTGTCAGCCTGCTCACACCGAATATCAAGCACCCCTTTTGTGGGGAAGCTTCTCCGACCACAGGACTAGGGCATTTCTCTGTTCCATGCTCTTCTAGATGCGGCTGGTCCCGGCCTTCAGAATGTCTCAGTTGTAATTATACATTCATCAGCGTGATCATTTGATGAATGTCTTCTCCCTAGAGGCTGCAGGCTCCACAAGAGGGGTATCTGGAGAATACCGATGGAATATTCCATCAGTGGAGCCCTGGTGGTGCAGTGCTTAAGAGCTCGGCTGCTAACCAAAAGGTTGGCGGTTCAAGTCCACTAGCCACTCCCTGGAAACCCTATGGGGCAGTTCTACTCTGTCCTATAGGGTCGCTATGAGTCGGAATCAACGCGACATCAACGGTTTTGGTTTCGGTATTCCATCAATGTTAGTTTGCCCATCACTGTATCCCCAGCACGCAGTGTAGGACCTGGCCCACAGAGGTGCTCAATGAGGAGTTGTTGAATTAATGAATGACTGAAGATGCAAGTCAACTCATGTAAACCTCTCAACAGCTCTATAACACTACTGTTATCTTCTTTAACAACTGGGGAAATTGGGCTCCGAGAGTTGAATTAACTGGCCCAAGATCACAGAGCTAGAAAGACAGTAATTGAACCCTGGGCCTTCTAGATCCTTCTATCCAACGACCCAACCACCTGGGCTGTCACTTGGAGCCTGCCTCTCACCCTCCCCATCAGTACCAGGGCTTGGATCATTATATACGTTGAGTATCACCCCTGTGCCCTACTCACCCTCTCTAAAAACAGAGAAACAAAACACAGCCACAAAATCAGTCCATTTCCTTAAGCTCAGAGGCAAAGAGGCACTCACTCCGTGTTTCTGAATGGCCACGTTGGTGAGGTGAACAAACATGTTATCCAGCTCACTGGTGCTCGGGGTGTACTTGACGGTGCAAAATCGACAAAATCCAAGTTTGTACCTAGATGGGAATTTACATTCGTTCAGTACTCTGAGGAGAGGCATAAATAAAATAAAATAGACCACTTAGCTCTTTATAAAAGAGCTGCTTTTTCATTTTTACGATTAACCGCAGCATGAAGGTTGATCACTTTATTTCACTCACGACCTATCATGTGCCAGGCACGGTACATGTATTACATCTCACTAAACCTCCGAGCAGCTCTCAGAAGTCAGCAGTCTGTGTTAAAGCACAATCTCAAGGATGGACTCTTACATGTAACAGCGCAGGGGCCGGTACGTGGACACCAGGACATACAAGCGCAGGTCAAACTTCCTCCCGCCAATTAGCAGCGGGTTGTTGATATAGAGAGAGATCACGTAGGCTTCCTTACTCGACTGAGACACAAACCTAAAAACGTCAGAGAAAGTCAAAACGAGACGGTGAAGACCAAAGGTGTGCTCAGTCGGTTAAGTCCCCCACATCCCACAAAGCAAGCCGCCTGCACATCGGGGGAAAAGGCAGGGTGAGGGGCGTCCACAGAGGACTGCCTCTGCTGCCCCACCTACAGGCGACAGTGCCAGGAGCTGCACGACAGCCCGAGACCCCGCTCACGGAAGAGCCCCTTGGGCCCAACCCATCTGGGGCCAGCAAACTGCAGTCAAATTTAAATGTCCTACACAAGGAAAAACAAGTCCTGCTGCCGTAGCGGTTAAGTACCCGGCTGCTAACCGAAGGGCCAGCAGTTTGAACCCACTAGCCGCTTTGTGGGAGAAAGATGTGGCAGTCTGCTCCCATAAAGATTACAGCCTTGGAAACCCTATGGGGCAGCTCTACACTGTCCTCCAGGGTGGCTAAAACCAAAAAAAAAAAAAACAAACAAATCCATTGCCATTGAGTTGATTCCGACTCATAGTGACCCTAAAGGACAAAGTAGAACTGTCTCACAAGGTTTCTAAGGAGCAGCTGGTGGATTTGAACTGCTGACCTTTTGGTTAGCAACGAAGCTGTTAACCATTGCACCATCAGGGCTCCTAGAGTGGGAACTGACTCGACGGCAGTGGGTTTAGTGGGTTTTACAAAATGAAGATGGATCCCTGTCACTCCTGAGAACTCCTGTCACTGAGCTCCCCACCCCACCGTGACCAGCAACAATGGTCCATGCTGCACACCGACACTTTGCTTTAATGACACTGGGCATTTCTGAGCAGGTGAGGACACCAAAGAGCCAAGTGAGCTGGCAGGAGTCCCCGACTAAACCCCCTGGCCCAACACCCTCAGTTCAGAGGAGCAGCAGTCCCAGGCAGGAGACCTGACAGCCCAGGCCACTTCTAAGACCACAAAGGCCCCCACTTCCACATGCTTCACCTGCAGTAACTCACCCCACCCACCACACCTATGAGGTCGGCACAATTATTACCCCACTTTACTCAGATGAGGAATCTGAGGCACTCAGAGTCTGAAACACACAATTCTCTCAGCCAGTGTCAGACTGGAATTCAAATCCAGGGACTCTGGGGCCCCCAGCCCAGCTCTCAAGCAGAAGCTACCCAGCCTCAGAAACGCAGTGACTGAACAAGTCTCACAACCAACCTGTAGGACAGAGGGCCAGTATGACTCCCTGCTCTGGGACCTTGAGCTGCTTCATGTACCTTTTCCTTGTAATTTACCTCAGGTGAGAGTCTGTGATTAACTACGCCACAGGAGCCACAGAGACTTGCTGTAACTCCACGTGACAAACGATGCCACAGCTGTAGAAGCCAGCCAGGCCACCCACAGGCCTAGCCCCTTTGCCCCGCAGGGATTCGACAGCTAAGACTGAAGAAAGATACGAGGCTGCTATCTGGGCGGCACGGGGACAGTGGGGTCCCCCACTTACGAGGACGTCTTGCTGTCCCGGGACCACTTTTTGATCTGTGAGAGCTTGTTGATGAGGAAGATACCCTTTCCCTGGGCTTTGCCACAAGGCTTCATGATCCAGGTGCTGGAGGGGCTTTTCCTGAACTCCTCGACAAACAGGTTGTAGTCTGCTGGTAGCATGTAGGTGACCGGAACGAAGTCTGCAAGGTCGAGACACCCCGTGCTGGTAAGCCGAGGGGACAACGGTACACCCTGCCCAACAGTGGCCATGGATAGCAAAGTCCTGCCACTGCCTTTCAGGGGCCTGCGTCAGTACCACCCTCCCCACCCACCGCCAAACCCAGCGCCTAACAGAACGAGGACTTCTGCCGTTCACTTCCTGTACAATGATAACAAGGTAACTTTATCAAGCTCTGTGTGCTGAGCGCTTTAGAATCTATAGTGTTTAGCCCCACATCCCCCTGTGAGGGGGGTACTGTCATCATTCCCACTTATCAGATGAGGAAACCAAGGCCCAAAGAGATCGGTCGTATGATTTCGCCCAGGCATGTAAAGGGATGTTGAAACTCTCCAACAGTCCAGCCTTTATTGCCAGACGGGACAGGGGCACCATCCTCCCGGGTACCACCACATGCAGTAATGACCCCAGAGGGCACTGAGGATATTCCCTCACGTAAGCACACGCAGCATAAACTAAAAAGAAAAACCCATTGCCATGGAGTCGATTCTGACTCATAGCGACCCTATAAGACAGAGTAGAGCTGCCTCATGAGGTTTCCAAGGAGCAGCTGGTAGATTTGAACCGCCAACCTTCTGGTTAGCAGCCATAGCTCTTAATCACTGCGCCACCAGGGTTTCACATGCAGCATAGCCACAGGCAATTCCCAAGGTGCTCACAGAAACCAAAATTCCAAACTGGAGTGCTCCATCCCCCACTCCTGAGGTGTGGAGACGACCTGCACAAATGCGTTCACCTGTCAAAGCCACCAATCATGATTCAGCACCCCGCGCCACTGAAGTAAAATCTCAACAACTTATTTACACGAGGCCGGTGAAAAAGGCACGAACCCAGGTAAAGGTATTTCCCATTTTCATCTTTTTCGGCCAGAGGGCTCCCTTCCTTCTCCAGCTCTTTTCTGTATCTTTTGATATTCTTCACCATCAGATCCTTCCGGGTCAGCTCATAGTGGTTTGGAAAATGGTTGACTATTTGGTCGTCTGAAAGCCGATATCCAGTTTCGACACTAAAAACATTTCGGATTGTCTGCACACTCATCCTGAAAGAGAAGCGCAGGGGAGACGGGCGTGAAGATGGAAGCTGAGCGTCTGTGTGCACGTGGCATAGTTCCCACTAAAGCCATGGCGAGTGCCGCCTGGAAGAGTGCCCCTCCCAAGCCCTCACCCCTCCCCGCCCTTACCATGCACCCCTCCCACCTCTGCACCCGATGACCCGTAAAACTGGCTGTGACCTGGACCGAGGCAGGGGCTGTTTTGACTCTGTATCCTCAAACGTGCGCTCTCTAGCACGGAGTAGGTGCTTAATCAACGTTGATGAACAAACTAATGACCGAAGGACCCCTTCTAGACTCTGATGCCGAACGCTCATTTACATAATGTTTACACCCAGATTCAGGAGGGCCAGGGACCCTCTGAAACCACAGGGGTTATTTAAGGGCCCAGTACCAGCACCTCATATTCCTGGAGAGATTTCTGGCAGGGCAACTAAAGTGGGGGTTGCCCTACTGAAATGGGGTAGGGGAGCAGCAGAGTTGAAAGAGAACTGGATTCCTTCTAACCTCTAAGAAAGCCACTGTTTCGCTGCTACGCCCCTGTCCCCACCAGCCCCAGAGAGGACAGGGAAGTGTGGGAAGGAAGGGCTGGCACTCTGAGGGTGTCTGGGGCACAAAGCAAAGCGAGCTGTCCCAGGACCCCACTCTGTGGTCCCTGCACACCCACACCCAAGCCACCAATCTTAAAACGACATCTAGAGTAGCAAAGGGGTTTCTTTTGACTGCCTGATCGTTAGGATAAAGGAACTTTTTTTTTTTTCACTTTTTATTATGGAAAACTTACCCATATACAAAAGTAGAGAGAAAAGTGTAATGAACCCCCATTATCCAGACCCAATAATTATCAACATGTAGTCAGTCTTGTTTCATCTATATCCCTACCCATACCTTACATCATCAACTCCCAATTCCCCCAAAACATTTCTGTAAGAACCTCTAAAAGTTAAGAAATACTCCTTTTTATATTATATGATATCTATTGTATATCATTCTTGCAACAAAAAAGAAGTAACAGTAATTCCTGAATATCATCAGTGTTCAAATGTCACCCCTTGCCTGGTAAACACTGTTTAGTTTGTGCAAACAAGGCCAGACCTCTGACTGGTTGTTCTGTCTCTTCTTGTTGTTAGGTGCCATTGAGTCGGTCCCGACTCATAGCAACCCGACGTACAACAGAACGAAACGCTGCTCGGACCTGTGTCTCTTACGCCCTTTTCAGTCCATGCAGCCTTTCTGGAGCAACTGATTTGTTGAAGATACTGGGTCTTTTGCCCTGGAGGGGTTTCCCCAGGTTTCTCGTCTAACATGTTCCTCTGGCCTTTTTATTTCCTATGAATTCGTAGTCAGACTAGCGGTCTGAGGAGACTGTTGGAATTTCTGACACAGCTCCATGTGGCACGCAGTGCTGGGTGTCGCTCTTCTTGGGGGGTCAGTGATTGATGATCGCTGTCCAACAGAAATGTAACGCAAGCCCCAAATGAGAGCAAATGACATATGGAATTGTACATTTTCTAGTAGCTACGTTAAAAAAAAAAAAAAGGTAAAGGAAACAGGTAAAATAATTGATATATTTTATTTAGCCTAATATATCCTAAATATTATTATTTTAACACATTGTTGCTGTTAGTTGGTGTCAAGTTGATTCTGATTCATGGAGACCCCATGCGTTGTTACAGAGGAGAAGTGCTCCGTAGGGTTTTCTTGGCTGTAGTCTTTTTATTTTACTGTTGCACTTTAAGTGAAAGTTTCCAATTGAAGTTAGTCTCTTATACAGAAATTTATACATAGTTATGTGACCCTGATTGCTCTCTCTATACTGTGACAGCACACTCCTCCTTTCCACACCTGATTTCCCGTGTCCATTCGACCAGCTCCTGACCCTCTCTATCTTCTCATCTCACCTCTGGACAGGGGATGCCCATTTAGTCTCATGTATCTACCCGGGCTGAGAAAGACACTCTTCACAAGCATCATTTTACATCCCACAGTCCAGTCTAATCTTGTCTGAAGAGTTGGCCTCAGGAATGGTTTTAGTTCTGGGTTGACAGAGAGCCCAGGGGCCATGCTTTCTGGGGTTCCTCTAGTCTCAACCAGACCATTAAGTCTGGTCTTTTTACTAGAATTTGAGTTCTGCATCCCACTCTTCTCCTGCTCCATCAGGGACTCTCTGTTGTGTTCCCTGTCAGGGAGGTCATTGGTGGTAGCCGGGTACCATCTAGTTCTTCTAGTCTCAGGCTGATGCGGTCTCTGGTTTATGTGGCCCTTTCTGTCTCTTGGGCTAATACCTTCCTTGTGACTTTGGTGTTCTTCATTCTCCTTTACTCTAGGTGGGCTGGGACCAATTGCTGCATCTTAGATGGCCACTCGCTAGTTTTTAAGACCCCAGACGCCACTCACCAAAGTAGGATGCAGAACATTTTCTTAATAAACTTTGTTATGCCAATTGACCTAGAAGTCCTCTGAAACCATAGTCCCCAGACCCCTGCCCCTGCTACTCTGTTCCTTGAAGTGTTTGATTGTACTCAGGAAACTTCTTAGCTTTGGTTTAGTCCAGTTGTGCTGTCTTTCCCTGCAGTGCGTGCTGTCCTTCCGTTCACCTAATTCTTGTCTACTATCTAGTTAGTGAATAACCCTCTCCCTCCCTCCCCACCCTTGTAACCATCAAAGAATGTTTTCTTCTGTGTTTAAACATTTTCCTGAGTTCTTATAATAGTGGTCTTATACAATATTTGTCCTTTTGTGACTAAATTCACTCAGCATAATGGCTTCCAGTTTCCTCCATATTATGTTTCACAGATTCATCGTTGTTCTTTATTATTGCGTAGGATTCTATTGTGTGGATATACCATAATTTGTTTATCCATTCGTCCGTTGATGGGCACCTAGGTTGTTTCCATCCTTCTGCTATTGTGAACAGTGCTGCAGTGAACATGGGTGTGCATACATCCGTTTGTGTGACGGCTCTTATTTCTCTAGGATATATTCCAAGGAGTGGGATTGCTGGATCGTATGGTACTTCTATTTCTAGCTTCTTAAGGAAGCAGCTTGGCTGTAATCTTAACAGCAACAATCTTAATGGAAGCAGATCACCAGGCTTGTCTTCCAAACTGCCAACCTTTAGGTTAGTAGTTGAACGCAAGCTGTGCTACCTAGGGGCCTTTTGCTCATATGCAAGTTCAAGTTGAAGCTGAAGAAAATTAAAACAAGTCAACTCAGCCCAGCCAAACCAATAGACTCACTCAGGCCAACCCATAAACTCATGAGCAATAAAAACGGATGTTGTGTTAAGCCCTTAAGTTTTGTGGTGCTTGTTACACAGCCCTGATGTGGACGGCTAATTGACAGGCTCACCATAACACAGTCAACGACTGTGAGGATGGCGCGGGACCAAGCAGTGTTTCATTCTGTTGTACACAGGGTTGCTATGAGTCAGAGCCGACTCGTTGGCACCTAACAACAACAACGTAGTCACTGTTTTCATGTTCCACGTTCTTTTTAGTTCCCGCCCATAGGCAAGCCATTTTTGCATAGTTCTCATTAGAATACAATTTCATAATACGCTTTTTCTACTACAAATACGGTATGTTGTCCAATTTTACAAATTGCTCTATAATCTTCATCATTATTTTAATGATGGGATCACATTCTACTCAGTTAGTTGCTTCCGATATTTTACTCTAATTTTTTAAGACTTGGTGCTAAAAACAGGAACTCTCAAAATATCAAATATCCAAAGCTACTATACGGTTCAGCTTTTCTCCTCTCTCTCTTTTTGTTAAGAATAGCTCCAAAATGCTTATTTGGCATAAGGGAGGCACTCACCCTCTCCCCAGGCACTGATCACCTACTAACGGTCCGCCAAAGCCATCTCTGAGAGCCTGCAAAGCCGTGGTAGGGGGCTAGGGGACACAAAGGCCGGAAGCAGAAGACACTGTCTCACCTGGCCTTTTCTTTCAGAGCTCTTAGAAAACAGGGCCCCCGATAAACGGCTCCATTCCACCTCTGAAAAGAATACACGCTAGATGCATAGCCATGCACCAGTGCTGAGGTACACACAGTGCTCACCCTGTCTGCAGTCCGCGCTCCTGGAGAGAAACGAGGCTGTGCCTTCAAGCACAGGCAACTTCAACAGCTGCTAGATGCAAAGCAAAGCTCCTTCCTCCACTCTCTCCCGTGACAGAAATGGGTGCCAGTTGCTCTGTGCCCAGCCTGCCCTGGGGACGCTGAGATAAGCCAGGCAAGGTCTTCACCCCAGGAGTTCGCAGTAACGTGTGAAGGGGGGACAGAGGGGAACCGCCATGTCACAGCACACCCAGCGTCTGCCAGGGCACCTGGGCAAAGTCAGCTGGGGCCTGCAGGAGTCCAAGGGGGCTTCCCAGAGCAGGCAGCACGTGTGCTGGTGTGGATGGAGTGTGTCGGCATGCCAGGCACTGCTCCCAGCTCTGTGTACTAGGAACTCACGGAACCTCAGACAACCAGCCAGATGTGCAAGAGGCCGGGTCCTTTGCTAATGGCCACACAGCCAGCCAGCAGAGGAGGCGGGAGGTGAACCCAGGTGTGAGGGTGGCTCCAGGACTGGGCTCTTAAACCCGCGGGGACAGGCCGGGTTCACCATGTGCGTGCATGTGTGTGCGCGTGTGTTGGGAGGGGGTGGGCAGAAAGAACAGCAGGTGTGAGGTGTAGACACGTGAATTTCTCACGAGGGAAACAGCGGAAAGCGAGCAGAAGCCAGGGACCCTCTCCCACGGTGGTGGCAGGGCAAGCGAGTCTGGTCAGAGGGATGTGCGGGTGAAAAAGCCCCGGGGACTCTGATGTGCTCCCCACTCTCCCTGACCCCCAGCACCTCAAAGAATCGCTACAGCGCTCCAGACCCGGGGCTGCAGAGGGCTGTGGAGGTTCCTGCCAGGTGGGACGGCCCGAGGCAGGGAGCCCAGCGCAGAGGCTGCTACTGCCAACCCTGAGGAAGAGAGACAGGCAGGCATGGGTGAGGCCGAGGGAGGAGGAAGGAGCGGGAGGCTGAGGACACAGGCCCTCAGCTGATGAAGGGGGGGCGTGTTCTAAATGACGTCCCGGTTTCTTGCTGGGTGGAGTGTACCCAGAAGTCAACGTCAAAATACTGCTTTTCCTTTCCTAGTCTCACTTGCTTTTTGTGTGTGTTTGTTTTTTTTTAAAATCAGTGCAACCAGCACCCTCAACAAAAGGAAGCCCCAGACCCTCTTCCTGCCTTCTCCTCCCCTCCGCAAGGAAAATCCATAGGGGAATCCAACTTCTCGGACTCCTGGGGCTTCCCTGCGGCTCTAGGCAATCGGCCCCGACTGGACGAAATCTCATTGGAAAGGGAGATGAGGCTCGAGGTTTCTCACCTAGATTTCCCGCGGAATTAACTCCACTTGATATGGGGAACCGTCCTTGGACTTCACATCCCAGGCCGATAGGCAGCGAGGGCGGAATGCCCCACAGCGCGTGCGCACACGTGGCTTCATCTCCACGTGCTCAGAAACTGCTCGGGTGGAAAACGAGGCCGAGAGAGTACTCTGGATGCCAAGACACCCTCTGAAAACGGAATGCTTCACAGGCTGCAGTCTGTGTTCCTGGCAGGACAACCCAACCCTGCTTTTTACACTCACCAGTAAAAATTCCAATCCTCGTTTTCTGTCACTTGAATCCATCCTCTCTTTTCGAAGTTATTTATCAACACCGACTTCTCGATATCGGTGACCCACTTTACTTTTCCTGCCATGATCCTGAAAGAGATCAGGTTATTAGAACTACAAAACGTCAACCCACTGACTTCCCCTCCAACCAAAGGGACCCTTTCAACACCACACAAAACAAGCTCGGACCCGCCACCCCAAGCTCCAGCTTGCCCAGCAGTGGTTCTTAACCAGGGCTGTGTCCCCCAGGGGACACTGGGCAATGTCCAGAGACATTATGGTTGTGACAACAGGTGGGAAGGGTGCCACGGGCACCTAGTGGGTAGAGGCCAGGGATGCTGCGGAACACCCTACAATGCACAGAAGAGCCTCCACAGAACAAAATGATCTGGCCCCAAATAGCACTAGTGCTACTTTTGAGAACCCTGGTCTAGCCCGAGAAAGACAGCTATTAACTAATTACCAACTAATTTTCTATCACAACTGTGGCAAGGACCACGAAGGCAGGGCACACGGGGCTCTGAGAAGGGGGTAGGAGCTTGGGATGCGGTCAGGGTGGCCGGGGAAGGCTGCCCTGAGGAGGTGACCCTTGGGATGGCGTCTGGTGGGTGGCAGTCAGTATGCCTGTCCTAATCGGAGCACCACCATCCACCTGTCCTCGAGTGCTGCCTACTTTCTTGCCCCCTCTCCCCCTACTCCAATTCACTCTCCACACCTGTGGAGGAGCTTTGTGTCCACCTGAACATGTTCCTCCCCTGCTCAATAGGCCCCACGGCTCCCTAGTGCTGTTAAAAAAAGCAGCTTTGTGAGGACCTCTTCTCCAGGTGTAGCTGCTGCCACCTTCTCCCCTTCACACCATTATTCACACCTGGGCTTCTCGCCCACCCCAGGGCCTTGGCACATGCTGGCCACCTCTCCACCTGCAGCACCCTCCCCTGGCTCTGCCTGGCTAGGCTCCCTTCTCCCATCTGCAGCATAAATGCCTCTTCCTCCATGAAGCCCCCCCCCCAAATGGCGGCTCTGTATTTAATATCTGCCACCCCTGCTAGCGGTCGGGGAGCTGGCTTTATCATTAGCTGCTTCCACCCAGGGCCTGGCACCGTGACTGGCACGTGGTGGGCACTCAGCACAGACTGACTGGCTATGCCCCTCGCCCGTCGGCAGCGCTGTGTGACTCAGTGGCGTCTTCACCATGCTAGCCCTCAGTTTCCTCCTTTGAAAAGTCTGGTTTTATGGGATCAAGTTGACAACAGCGACCTGAAAGGTTATACAGGAAACTTGGGGGGCAGTGAGTTTATGTTAATGGGAGGAACAACTCAGAAAAGGAGGGTGAGAACGGTTGTGCAACTCAAAGAATGTAATCGATGTCACTGAATTGTAGGTAGAAACTGCTGAATTGGTGTATTTTGTTGTGTATGTTCTCAACAAAAACAACAAAATAAAAATATATATTAAAAAAAAAGAAGGATTAGAATGGTTGCACAATGTAATCAATATCACTGAATTGTACACATACACGTTTTGCTGTATATACTCTCAACAAAGTAAATAAAAATTTAAAAAAAAAAAAAAAAGAAAAGGCTGGTTTTCAGGTCGTGCTCTGGGCAGCCCCACGAGCTGCAGGCTGGGGCAGGATTCCAGGCTCCCCTCTGTCCCACCTCGGGCAACCGGAGGCTGGGCTGGTTCACAGCTCCGTGTACCATCTCATCTGGGGAAGAGGCTCTGCAGCGGCACCAGGCCAGACGCCAAGGGCCTCGGCGGGCTCTGAGGGCCTTTTAGAGCGGATGCGTCTCCTCTGTGGACTTGCAGTAGCTTCACTTTGGGGACAATTGATGAGACACAAAAAGCACAGGAAGTGGAGATGGGGACCCGCTACACCTGGCCTCAGGAGAGGGAGGTGAGGTGGGCAAACGAGGGTGCCCTGTAACAGCACTGCCAGCACTCAAGGGGCTCCCACACTTGTGATCTGCCCCCACAACCCCCCGGCAAGGGTGGAGCATCACTGAGGTCTGACCGTGATAAAGAGCACAGGCTCCAGAGCCTGGGTTTAAGGCCCAGCTCCACCACTCACTAGCTGTGTGACTGTGGCAAGTTACTTAACCTCTCTGAACCTCCATTTCCTCATTTGTCAAATAGGAATAAAACCAGTTGCCATTAAGTCAATTCTGACTAATGGCAACCCCATGTGTGTCAGAACTGTGCTCCACAGGGTTTTCAATGGCTCAATGTTTGGAAGTAGGTTACCAGGCCTTTCTCCCAAGGCAACCCTAAGTGGACTCAAACTGCCAACCCTTCAGTTAGCAGCCAAGTGCATTAACCATTTGTACCACCCAAGGACTCCAAAATATGGACAGTGAGGATTAAACGTAAAGCACAGAGAGCAACCTGGCACGTAGAAAGCACTTAAGAGTACTGGCTATTATTATCGTCCTCATCCCCATTTTGTGGATGAAGAAGTTGAGGCTCAGAGGTTAAGAGCTTGTGTATAAACCAGACTCAAGGAAGGCATGGCATCCTGATTCAAATCCAGGATAATCCGACTCCAAAGTGCCCCCTCTTCCACACAGCCCATTGCTTTTCATCTGCAAACCTGGCCTTCAACAGGATGGTGACAATACATGGCTCACAGGGTCAATGCCAGGAACGGATGAAACTGCTCTCTGCAAACTCCTAAGGTGCCATATAAACACCTGTGGTTGTCAGATGATCAGCTGTGATGCACGTGGAGAAGAAAGTCCGCAGACACTGCACCAAATGGTGGCAAAAGGCACCGTGGTGGCAGGACCCTCACGTGCTGGGAACTCACATCCCAGAATACCAGTAAATCCTGGATGTGCACACACACTCACACACAGCATCACGTCAAAGCCAGCTGCTGAGGGAGTGTGACTTTTTCACCATTTGCTTTCAGCCTCCGCAGCCCCAAATCCCTGACAATCCTGTTTGCGTCCTGCCCCCTAGAGTCCAACTGCAGAATCAGGCTTTCAGGTGAGACTCATCCTCCTCAGCCAGGCAGCGCCCACACCACGACCCTCCCCGGCTGCCTGCTTCACACCACACTTAAAGCATCCATCTTACTGGTGACCTTGGACCACTCACCTATGTCCACCTAGAGATGACAGCAAAGAATACAGTAAACCTTTAACATAATAAAGACAGTACATCATATTTATGCAGGGCTCGACAATAATAAACTGCTTCTGTGCATAGGTGCATATGATCCCCAAACCCAGTAAGGCAGATTGGCAGATTTGCTCATCTTTTTTTTTTTTAGCAATGTTGCTGTTGGCTGCCGCTGCACTGGCCATGATGTTGTTGCGTTGGCGGCCCCACGTATTTGTTAGAGTAGAACTGCTCCACAGGATTTTCTGGGCTGTAATCTTTACGGAAACAGATTGGCAGGCCTATCTTCCACAGAGTCGCTGGGTGGGTTCCAACCTCCAACCTTTACATCAGCGCCACCCAGGCTCCTTCTCATCCACATTTCACTGAGCAGGAAACTGAGCCAAAACCAAACCCGCTGCCATCAAGTTGATTCTGACTCATAGCGACCCTACGGGACAGAGTAGAACGGCCCCATAGGGTTTCCAAGGAACACCTGGTGGATTCAAACTGCTGACCTTTGGTTAGCAGCCGTAGCTCTTAACCACTGCACCACCAGGGTTTCCGAAATGGAGCCTCAGAGAAGGTAAACGGCTGAGCCAAGACTATGAGGTTTGTTGTTTGTACGCACAGTACTCTACTCCAAAACCATCCTTACGAGACCAGAAGGCCCACGTTCACTCCAAAGCAAAGATGAGAAGATAAGGCGGCGAGGAAATGAGTACTGGAAATGGAACAACCAGAACATCCGCAATTAAAGAGGATGTTGACACACTCTGAAAAACGTAACTAATGTCTCTGAACAACTGGTATAGAAACGGTCAAATGGGAACCTAATTTACTATGTCAACTTTCACCAAAAACAATAAAATATTATTAAAAAAAAAAAAAAAAGGACCGTAGGTTTTCTTCCTGATGCTCTCCCCCCAGTACACTGTCGTGTGGTAAACCGTCACTGACGGGTAACGCTTCGGGCTCTACCTACCATCAGTACTTATGGAGCCAAGAGGAACGTCCAATTTCTCTTCAGCTTCACTGACTCTTGCCTCCGTTTCTTACCTAAAATGAAATGAATACCCAGATGAAGTGTACATAGCACAGAATCCAAAGACACTGACAATTTCACGAACGCAGCAAAACCGTAAGAGTAACCAGAATGTTCCGCGGATGCCGTCTTCTGTTTAACAAGTGCACACCAGAAAACTCGTAGAACATTCTCTTGTTGTGACAAAGAGCTCTGAGTTACATGACTTATTGGCTCCAGCCACCATCTCACCCCTTCATTTCACGTCCCCTACCTGCAGCTCCACGCACAGCACACACTGACCCTTTCCTGCCCCTGAGCCTTGGCTCCTCTTCTCTCCACCTGGAGCCGCCTTTCTCGTTCCTTCTCGCCATCCTGTCAATCACACAGGCTCAGTTCATTAGCACTCCTCCATAGAGTTCTGCTAACTGCCTTTGGCTGAATCGACTATGCCCTTCTGCGAAGCCCTCTGCCTACTGCCCCACCATCATCTCTGCTGGCATTCAGAACCTCCGACCTTGCATGGGCTCTTTTTTTGTTTTTTTAATTTTCTGTTGTTGAAAATATACACAAGCAGAACACACACCAATTCAACAATTCCTACATGGACAATTAAGTAACACGGATTACATTCTATGAGTTGTACAACCATTCTCACCCTCCTTTTCTGAGTTGTTCCTCTGCCATTAACATGAACTCTCTGCCCCCTAAGGTTCCTATCTAATCTTTCAAGTTGTTATTGTCTCTTTGATCCCCTGTAGATACTTCTTAAAAGAGGATAATGCTCAAGGCAGACATTTTTTATCTACTTAAGCTAAACTACTGTTTGGTTTATAAGAAGACTTCAGGGAATATTTTTGGATTAAGTTTTAAAGATTATCTCAGGGCAATAGTTTCAGGAGTTCATCCAGCCCCCTTGGCTCCAGAAAGTCTGGAGTCTATGACAATTTGAAATCCTCTACTGCTCTTCCCCCCTTTTGATCAGGATTCTTCTACAGAATCTTTGAGCAAAATGTTCAGTAACGGTAGCCAGGCACCATCCAGTTCTTCTGGTCTCGTGACAAAGGAGGCAGTTGTTCATGGAGTCAATTAGCCACATATTCCAATTCTTCCTCCTATTCCTGACTCTCCTTCCTCCGCTGTTGCTCCACATGAATAGAGACCAATTGTCATGCCTTGGATGGCCAGCTACAAGCTTTTAAGACCCCAGGCACTACACAATAAACGGGGAGGTAAAACAGAAGCACTGAACATGTTGTTAGGCCAATTAAGTGGGATGTCCCATGAAACCATGACCCTAAACCTCCAAACCAAGGAACCAAATCCCATGAGGTTTCTGGTTGTCCATAAGCAGCCTCAGCAGCTGCTCTTGTTTGTCGTTGTTGTAAATACTTGCATGAGTTCTTTATGTGCAAACACTCCTTCTATAAAATGTATGAGGATGAGGACTCTCATCCCATCAGTTTCCCTCTCGTTCCAGTGATTTGTTCTAGCTGTAAGTGGGGCATCTACATCAAAGCTCAAGTCCACCTCACCCAGCCCATCCTCCCCAGCACTTGGTCCGTGGCATGACAGTCACACCATGGGCATTCACTGGACAAGGGTGGGATGGACAAGTCACAAGGTCAGACCTGGGAACCCAACTCTTCACCTTCAGCAGTCACTCCCGAGATGTTACAAAGGCTTCCCAGAGGGTAAATGCAGGGGGAAGAAGAACGAGAAATGCATTCCCACGAAGACTTTTAAATACATATATGGGAGACAGGGCACATGTAAAATGCTGAGTGAAAAGACAGGTAGCTATTTCTGGTTTAAAAAAAAGGAAGGAAGAAATACACTAAGGCTGCCTCCCACAGCTACAGAAATGAGTCAAGCCAGTGTGGGAACCGCCCTCCAGAACCAATGACAAGGTGGCCTTGAGCAGAGCTCCGTCCACACCTGAAGCATGAAGACCTGGATCACTTGCAGCACTGACATGTCTAAGCCATGGTCGCTGGAAAATTTTCTCAGTGTCTCAGCAGCCCCCATTAAACAAAAACAGGGAGGAAGCATCAGCTCCCTCACAGAGCTGCTGGGCTATAGTGCAGGGATGCAGGGCCTGGCACACAGTGGGTACTCTGAAAAGCTAACTGGTTTTCAAACAAGCACATCAGGCAGAAAGAGCTTTGTTGCAGACTTCTCTGATTCAACTCCACACACTCCTCCCATCCCAGCCCTACTTACAACTGACACAGCCAGTCCTCGCGGAGTAATTACACACTGATTTTATCACTAAAGGGAGAAAGATGTGGCAGTCTGCGTCTGTAAAGATTACAGCCTTGGAAACCCTGTGGGGGAGTTCTACTCTGTCCAACAGGGTCGCTATGAGTCGGAATCGACTTGACGGCAACGGGTTTAGTGTGGTTTTGGATTTATCGCTAACAGCAATAACGAACACACGGGTCGCTATGAGTTGGAATCGACTTGATGGGCACACAACCAGCACCGCCAACACGCACTAAGCACTAGCAAGTGTCAGGCGCTGGGGTGGGCAGTTCATGCGTTTCATTCTCAAAAGCTCCCACGATGTCATGGGCAGGAAGTCTCCCCATTTTACAGATGAGGAAAGTGGGGCTCAGTGACAGCCGGAGTAGAGACTGCAACCTATTGACAATGTACCCTGCCTCCCTCCCACAGAGTGACACTGTCAGTATACACGTGTGTCACACGTCACAGGGGAGTGGGGTGACTGACCTCTGTACCCCAGCACCCAGCCAGGGCCAGGAACGGCAAAGGGGCTTGGAAATCGTCTGTAAAATAGATGAACATACCGTGGCCAATCCCACAGTACAGAAGACTGGACTGACCCTTCCCAGCCCTACTTTATGGATGAGGAAATACCATGCCCTTTTTCGAAGTAACTAAATAAATACCTGATACTAGACTGCCTTATTGTCACTTCCTCCTAAATCAGAAGGAAAAAAAGTGAGGTCAAGGGTACTGCGTAATGAACGTGACATGTTACATCTCTACTGGCTCACGTGAACGCATGCATCTGAATAGTGAGCCACCTTCACGACCCAGCATCATAAAAACCTAACCTGGAAAAACAGTGACGCGGTCAGCATCATGCTCAGCACAGCTGGAGATGGTCACTGGGGCTGTCCTCAGCTGAGGTTTGTCAGCCACAGAAAGCCATCCTGAAACCGGACAGTTGTTATTGTCAGAACACAACCTGAGTCCCACTCCTGGGCAAGTAGGTTAAAAAAAAAAACAACAAAGCAGTTGCTGTCAAGTCAACACCAATTCACGGCGACCCCATGTCTGTCAAAGTAGAACTGTGCTCCATAGGGTTTCCAGTGGCTGATATTTCAAAGCAGCTCACCAGGCCTTTCTTCCAAGGCACATTTGGGAGGATTCAAACCCCTAACCTTTCCATTAGTAGCTGAGCACTTTTATAAGCCTGAGAACAACTTTTCACATGGGTGGCCTAGGCATCTGGGCCCTTGGCATTCTAGCTTTTCACCCACTCACTCATCACCCGACAGCCACCCCTCTGTGAGAGGCCCACACAAGAAGACACAGAGCTGACACAGAGGAAGACAAGGTCCTCCACAGGACGGCCCAGACCAACGTGAGGGAAAAGACACCTTCAGCTTCAGCAAGCTAAAGCCTCGGTGACAAAGTGCTCTCACAACAGAACAAACGCCAACCGTGGCCCTGAGGAAGAAGTGACTATTAATTCAATCCAGCAGCAAATCCAGAAGATTCCAAAGCCATCCATGTCTCTCCAAGCTTTCCAGCTACCACCTCATCCAGCGCCCCTTCCCGCTCTCCTAGATGACGCAGCTGTCCCAACTGGCTTCCCTGCTGCCTCCTCGTCCCACGGCAACCCACCCTCCCCAGGACCATACTCATCTTTTTAAACACAAAAATCAAATCATGTCACTCAGCTCAAAACTCTCTGGTAGCTTTCCACCGCACTCAGGAAAACACCAGCAGTCTATCCATAATCTACAAGGCCCGCCCTGTGTGATCTGGCCCCCACACCTCTCGGGCCTTGTCGCCCACCACCTTCTCCACCCGCCACCCCTCTCCAGCCTTGGCCGGCTCCTCACACCCACCAGCCATGTCCTGTCAGGCTCTGCTCCTCCCCCAGACTTGCCCCTGCTCAGCACGCAGGTCCCAGTCCAAAAGTCCCCTCCTCAGAATGGCTTTCCCTGACCACCCACTCTCAATCGCTCCCCACTCGCCCACACCGTCACTCTACTTTCTCTGTGGCCCTCCTGCTGGATACAATATACTGGCACTGCTGAAAGTATGGCCATGGACCAGAAGCCCTGGCACCTCTGGAGCTTGTTAGAAACACAAATTCCAGAACCTTTCCCCAATACCCTGAATCAGATGCTCTGGGAGTGGGGCCCAGGACTCTGAGTTTGACCACGCTCTCCAGTGGTTCCTGAGGTATGCTCGGGTTTGAGACTGGTCTAGTTCCTCTCTTTGGTCTCTTGGTGATGGCACAGACATGTAAGCTCCATCAGAGGAATGTTGTGCTGTTGTTGGGTGCCGTTGAGTCGATTCCAACTCATAGCAACCCCATATGACAGAGTAGAAATGCCCCATAGGGTTGTAATCTTTACCGGAACAGACTTCCAGGTCTTTCTCCTGTGGAGCCGCTGGGTGGGTTTGAACTGCCAACCTTTCAGTTAGCAGCTGAGCAGTTAACCATTACGCCACCAGGGCTCCTTCAGAGAGGAATATCCCACCTTATCTCTGGTGACTCCCACACCTAGAATAGTGTCTATCGATAGCAGGCACTCTAATAAACAGTTCATGAACGAACAAAAATAAATGAACTCCCTCCACGCACGCTCAAGTAAGTGTCGTGTGTGCCACTGAATTAGGCACAGCCCACGGCCGACAGGAGCTGCCAGGGCTGCAGGGAGAGATGCAAACAACCAACCATGAAGACTTCCACAGCTTTCCCAGGCATGAAGCACGAGCCTGGGGGTCCAGCTGATTTCCATGGAGTGTGGCGGCATCACCAGGAATATTTGTTGCCTGTCGGAACAGACGCCTGCCAAGACGCCTTTCCCTTCCTGTGTCTCTTACTACTCTCACACAACAGCCAGGCCAGCCTTTTGGGAGAAACACAAGCAGGGAGAGGAACTTACATTCATAAGAATCATTTTTGCTCTCCTGGGTCCAGCCACCAGGAAGCAGGGACCCGTTTCTGCCCTCCCCCCGCCCAATCCCCGCGACACCAGACACTTTGATCACTAATGAAGTTTCAAGCTAGGTCTAGGGCACCTGGATTCTCGTCCAGCTAGTTTTCTTTGAACAAAAAAAGGGGAGCCATCTTTAAAGATAAGAATAAATAATAACGTAAACGACGATGTCACCTTGGAGTTTGTTTGCAGGCGACATTGACTGTCCATCTCCACACCCCACTAGGTGACAGTGCCAGGCTCCAGGGCTGCTGACCAGTGTCTGTAACTTCTGGCAGGCAGAGCAGGACCGGTCTTCTTGGCACTGCCACAAGCCAGCACTGTAAACGTGCTCAGTAAATGTCTCCCGAACAAAGCAGTCACTTTGCAAACCCACACAAAGTTTACAATGATAAGATACTTTCAGGTCTAGCGTTAATCCCCTGCAATGCCCAGCTACTCTACAGAGTGAATGACAACCACGACCACCACCATCACACTGTGATTAACCGATGAGGACACCAGTTACCAGTTAACTGTCTCATCAATTCTGACTCATGGCGACCCTGTGTGTGTCCGAGTAGAACTGTGCTCCACAGGGTTTTCAATGGCTGATTTATGGGAAGTAGATCTCCAGGCCTTTCTTCCGAGGCGCCTCAGGTGGACTCCAGCCTCCAACCTCTCTCTCTGTTAGCAGTCAAGCGTGTGAATCGTTCGCACTACCCAGGGACTTGGAGGGGAAAACAGAGAGGAGAAAATGCCTTGGTCACAGACGCCCAGAAGGAAGCAGAGAATTACAAGGAGCAAGCAGAGCGGGGATCACAAGTCTCCACTCTCCTGCCCAGAGCTCTCGCCACAGGTGCACTGCGCCCTGAAAAAGACACCGAGAGAAACAATACAAACTGTAAACGAACGGGCAAAGTCCAGCACAATGAAATTCTGAGAAAACCGAAAATAATAGTAATAACGATAATGCAATTACAATAATCGGGCAGCACAAGGTAAGTTATGGGAACGTGAAAGAGGAACAGGAGACAATGGTCAGCGCAGGCTTCCGGGAAGGCGCCGATCGCCCAGCAGCCCCTAAACTACACGGTCGCGGCCGCATAGACACAACGCCTCCATCGCTCACGCATGCGCACTCGCGCGCTCACCGCCCTCAGGCACGGCCACACCCTCGATTACTGGGAGGCGGCGGCCTCGGACGCGGCGGCCTCACCTGTGGCTCCGAGCGCGGAGGGAAGTCGAGGAGGGTGAAGGAGCGCCACCCGCACCTCGTCCCGGCGCTCACCTGGAGACTATGCCGCTCCCTGGCGGACCGGCCCGCCAAGCGCGCTTTCTACTTCCGGGGCGGCACCATAGCAACCGAAGCCGCGGCCGCCGGCGCCGCTACTGCTTCCAGGGTCAGCTTTTCTGGGCACGTCTCTTCGCCCCCGAGGCTGGACCTCGGCTCTTCCGGGATATACGTCCTTGGGATTGCTGCACGGTTCGCCCTCCAGCCTGGCAAGCATCAGAGCCTAGAAAGTAGGCTGAGAAGGGTTTGGGATGCAGGATAAGTGGCAGTCAGCGCGGTGGGATATAAGGGCCCTGGGTCCAGTAGGCTGTTAACCCTCTGTGCCCCGCGACTGCTCGGTTTCCTCATCTATAAAATTGGGGCTGGTCACAGCGCCTACCTCGGAGAGTTGTGAGGATAACCTTATATGATGCGCTTCGCATGTAGTAATAAATAAATAGACCACTGAAAGGTCAACTCTTTTGTGAAGTGTGTCCTGACTCTGGGGAAGGACTATTTCCTAAAAATATACGTCGGAAATCCCTTCTGTTATGAAGAGGCAGCCTGGCCCAGTGAGGAACTTAAAACTGAAATCTATCCTAAGTCTAATCCCAGCTCCAAAATTGACCATCAAGTCACTTCACTTCTTAGAGCCTCGGTTTCCTTGCCTGTAAATTGGGGATTACAACACTGACGGAAGGCTTGTTGGGAAGATTGATGCAAATATATGTATGGTGCTTGACATAGTACATAACCCGTTGCCACCGAGTCAATTTTAACTCATGGCAACCACCTGTTACGGAGCAGAACGTAACGATTAATCTTTAGGGAAGCAGATCACCAGGCCTTTCTTCTGCAGCACCTATAGGTGGGTTTGAACCACCAATCTTTCAGTTAGTAGTCGAGAGCAAACCATTTGTGCCACGCAGGGACCTTAACTTAGCACATAGTAGTTGTTCAGATGCTTGCTGAATAAAAAAGCATGTAATCCACACATCTCCTGGCTATCAAAGTGCACTTCAGAGGCAGCATGAAAGAGGAGAAAGGACAGCATTGAATCCCTGCTCTGCTACGTTCTAGCTGTCTGGGCTTGGGCAAATCTCAGCCTCTTTATTATAATTTCTTCATCTGTGAAACAGGACTAAGGCTCTCCATCTCTCAGGGGAGTGAAAAGATTTTTTTAAAGTACTGATGAGTAGCACCTGGGAAGTGTTTAATGTGTTTTTACCACTACCTTCTCCCCTCCAGGCAACATGCACAACCATTCCACAGACTGTTACCACCAGCACCCAAAATACGAGAAGGTACTGATACAGACCGTGGAAGGAGTCAGCTTCACAAACTTGAAAACCAAACTCGTTGCTGTCGAGTCGACCCTATAGGACAGAGTAAAACTGCCCCATAGGGTTTCCAAGGAGTGGCTGGTGGATTTGAACTGCCCACCTTTTGGTTAGCAGCCAGTGATTAACCACTGTGCCACCAGGGCTATGTGGTCTGCTCCAACATCGTAAGGAAGAACAAATAGTAGGAAAAGCTGTGGCCAGTGTGAAGAATTAACTGGGAGCTAGGTAGTTCCAACAGGAAAAAACAGGACACTAACAGACTGACTCTCATTACAAGTATAATCTTGTAGATCTTCTAGTGAAAAAAAAAAGAAACAAAAACAAGTCTTCAATGGCTCCCCATGGCCATGAAGATAACATCCAGATTCCTTAATGTGTTTTTAGTTTTAATGTAGTTAAATCTGTTAACCTTTTCCGGCATAGCCTCTCAGTTCTTTCATGCCTAGAAAGACCTATCTTCATCACAGGATATAAAAATATAACTTATGAAGGGCCAAAAATATATGAATATATATGAAAATATATGAAGGCCAAAAAATGATAAACCAAAAGTATTAGCATCCTATATGACAAAGCATTGTCGTTAGGGGGTTGTTGTTGGGAGGGTTGTTGTTGGGGGTGTGGTTGCTGAGGGCTGTTGTTATTCTTGGGGGTTGGGGGGTTGTTGTTTGCCACTGAGTCAATTCCAATTCCTAGTGACCCCATGTGACAGTAGAACTGCTCCATAGGGTTTTCTTGGCTGTAAGCAGATTGCCAGGTCTTTTTCCTGCAGAGCCACTAGGTGGGTTCAAACTGCTAAACTTTTGGTTAGCAGGCGAGCACTTAACAGTGTCAAAAAACAATAGCCACCATATACAAAGCACTCCCATAGATCAATAAGAAAACAAAGCAACTCAACACAAAAACTGGCAGAAGATACGGAAAGACAAATTCCAGAAGAAGAATAAAAAGGTAAACAAGTGGAAAGATTCTTGAATCACTGATAATGAGATTTAAAAGATTTTAATGAGGGATTTTTCACTGATTTCATTGGTAAAAAATTAAAAGATAATTATATCTAATGTTAACTATCTTTTCATTTTTTACCAATAAAATCAGCGGAAGAATCCCTCATTAATTTTTTAAATTTCAATAATTATCAGTGATTTGGGAGCCCTAGTGGTGCAGTGATTAAGAACTATGGGTGCTAACCAAAAGGTAGGCAGTTTGAATCCACCAGCCACTTCTTGGAAACTCTATGGGGCAGTTCTACTCTGTCCTATTAGGTCACTATGAGTGGAATCGACTCAACAGCACTGAGAGTTTTATATCCAATGTTAAACAGGATGTGGGAAAAAAGGCGCTCACATGCACTGTTGATAGGAATGAATATTAGTATAGCTTTTAGAAGGCTGGCGGTTTTGACTAGTTTCTTGTTTAAAATGTTTAAAGCATCTGAGGAGACTGGCAAGTTCTAGATGGTTAGTGATTTAAAAAAACCCATTGCTGTCAAGTCAATTCCAACTCATAGTGACCTTATAGGACAGAGTGGAACTGCCCCATAGGATTCCCAAGGAGCAGCTGGTGGATTTGAACTGTCGACCTTTTGGTTAGCAGCCGTTCTCTTAACCACTGTCCAGGGCTCCAACTAACGGTGGATTAGGGACAGACATCTCGCCTTCCATGCAGGAGACCCAAGTTTGATCCCCCGCCAGTGCACCTCAGGCACAGCCACCACCCTTCTGTCAGTGGAGGCTTGCGTCTTGCTATGATGCTGAAGTTTTAGTGGAGCTTTCAGACTAAGATGGACTAGGAAGAAAGGCCTGGTGATCTAGTTCCAAAAAAAAAAAAATCCTATGATCACAATGTACATGGGGTTGGCATGAGTCAAGGGTTGTAAAAATGGTTGAATAGTAGTATTGTCAGAACCTAACTTCATGGGGGATAATGAGAATCACCATCAGCACAAAGCTGATTCCTATGAGGTGGAGGTCAGACATGTCTCCATTCTCCAACTTTTTTACCTATTCTGACCACGGTTGGAACTGGAACAAACCGGTCCATTTCAGTTCAAACCCCTGCTGAGAATTTACATTTCCACCCCAGATACTGAATCAGAACCTACAGTTTAACAAGATTCCCAGGTGATTTTTATGTATAATAAATTTTGAAAACCACTGCTCTACTAGTGGTTTTCAGAATTGGTCCCTAACCAGCAGCATTAGCATCACCTGGGAGCTTGTTAGAAATGCAAATTCTCAGCAGGGGTTCAAACCAGAACAAAGTGGTTTGAAGCCTTGATTTTGACAGGAGCCGCCTTTCACACAGCACTCTCTACTTCTCTGCTGGGTTTGATGATCTATTGCAATGGCCACACAGAAGTCACAGATCAAACTTACAGTTAAGTGGTTTATTAAGGAAGTAACAGTGTACTACTCGGGATGAGGGTCAATAGGCTACAACTCAGGATTGAGATCAGGAAGCATGTAGGCAAACTCTCCCTTAAGTGCAGGACAAGCTCCTCTCAGCCCTGCTGTCTGTCACCACTGACTCTGCCGCTGGGCCCCTTCTGGGCCTCTTGCTGCCTTCAATGTTACAGCCCTTGACCCATGTTACAACTCTTTTAGGAAGTTCCTCACTGCTTCTCTTTCTCCGCTTCTTTTCTTTTCCCTCTTCTCTCTGCCTTCTGCTTCTTCCTGCTTCTTTCTGTCTGAAATCTCTCTAGAGTTAGCTGCTTTTATCTACAACTCCTTGTCCATTTCAAGGCATGGGCTCTCGACCAGGGCCACAAACTGACCAATCCCCTCTTGGTAGGCTGTAGACACTTCATTTGCCTGGGTCTCTTGACCAATCCCTGTAAGATGCATACCATCACAGGGCGAGCTGCAGCCCAGGGCCAGACAAAAAGTCAAGTTGTTTACAGTTTACCCAGGAAATGTCAATCAACCTAGACAAAAGTAACAAACCCTCTGGGGTAGAAATTAGGGGCAAAGGTAACTCCTCAAGGTTTAGGGGAAAAAAATCTCTCAAGCTGTTTTTTCCAAAGAACCAAGGCAAAAGGCCACATAAAAGAACTCATTTCATCGCAAAGGTTGGCTGGGAAGTAGCTAACAACAGGAGCTAATACAGATTGTGGAAAGGAAAATTCACTCATTCTAGAAACAAACATCTCTTGAGGGTCTACCACTTAAGGTGCAGGGGAGCGGAAGTGTGCATGGGCCCTAAGTGCACATACGCCCTCTCAGGGTTTATAGACCAGCAGGGAACCCAGGCTAGAAGAGGGCCTTGCAGGGTGC